AAATTATTTCTAGTTTCTAGATAAATTCTAGTGTAGACAAAAAGTAACTTACTTATTATAAATGTGTAAGTATGTGGTATATGCATGAAATAGGCATGGAGCGCTATGAACGAAAAGGAAAACAAAAATAACAAACGCCAAACAATATTATTTTTAAGTTATTATAGTTTATTTATTAAATTATTAATTTAAAATCAATAGATTTGTATGATATCAAGTTCCCTGGCAACAACTGTTGTATCTTCAAATTTAAATTGTCTTGGATTGACTGTAAATAATAATAATGATAATGGGCCAGTAACATTAACCAACAACAGTCGAAGATAAAATAACTCAGTGTGTCTTGGATTAACTGTAAATAAGCGTTCGATTTAAATAAATTGAGGCATGCATCAACTGGTGAAACTTGCTTGCGGGGCATCCATTTTTTTGTTTGAGCCCATGTGAAATAGCGTGGTTCTTGTAAATAGAGTAATGTTCTTGCAAATGCACCAAAATCATCCGTACTATTACACAATTCAAAAAATGCAGTGAGTGTAGATTTAGGTGGATTTGTACTACGATCAATCACTGTCTCGTTCGTGAAAAATACACGCTGACCGTTTTCAAGATTGACGGCTAACTGAACAGCTGCTGGATTCCGTTCATTAATTAGAAAACCGAAGATACGCCAAGCAGCTTCATTGGAGCTGATGTACCGACCAATTTGGTAGAGCGTAATTTCACCGTTTTTGTTCATTGGAGGAGCATTTACATTTGTATTTTCTACTCTAAACACAGCCATATCACTGCCTTTATGGACATACTTATATATTTGATGCTCTTCACAGAACTGCAAAACTCAACATTTATATGAGCATTGTATGTTTTGCTTAGCAGAGGCGAATACGGCACCACCCGCCATTGTCCCCCATTATCGGGATTTCTTCGACGATATATTGGATATCCGTCGGTATTTGTTATAGTATCATTAGTGAAATTTTTAGAAAAATTTTTAGTACATTTTCCATCTGCCATGCAAAGCGAAGACGAAGAACGAAGTGGATGTAAATGCTCGATGTACTTATTGGCGTAGTTACATAAAATATTAAGAAAAAATTTTTCTGTTTCAAAAATATAAACAAAATTTATGTCAAAAAAATAAAAAATTTTTTGTTAAAGCAATAAGAATATTTTTGCTGGGTAGGGATACCCTAATCACTTAAGCGGTATGAAAAATAGATAGTAGCCGATTCTCAGACCTACTGAATATGCATATAAAATTTGGTAAAAATCGGTAAAGCCGTTTCGGAGGAGTACGGTAACTAACATTGTGACAATGTTAATTTTATATATAAGATAATAAAAACTTTCATTTTAATGAGCAAAATCAACATGTAAAAAGAATTGTGCAGTTGTGACTGTTTATTTAAATAAAAAATTTAAAATACATTTGGCTCAAGAACAGGAGCAAGAAATTCTGCAACAGAGGGTCAATCGAAGAAACTTGCGAAACGCTGCAAATCCACTTGAGTTGCCTGATTCTTTGTAAGTACAAATGTAAATTTAATTTGGTTTTAAAATAAACGTTTTTTTAATTATTGATTTCAGAAATGTTACAGAATGAATAAACCAGCATTTATTTACCTGTTAGAGGAACTTACTGCAAAGAAGCAATTTGCAGTTTCTTCAATTGTGAAATTGAGCGGTTGTTTGCGTTTCTTTGCTGAAAGAGCTTATCAGACAGGTTTTAGGAAAGACCACAATATCGCCCTATCTCAGCCTATTTTCAGTGCTTTCTGAAGTTGTAAATATTTTTGGAACTAACTTATGTCCAAAATGGATGAAGGTTCCAAAGACATCTGAGGAAAAAAGGAAAATAGCTTTAGCATTTTATGTTAAGCATAACATTCCAGGTGTTGCAGGATGCGTAGATGGAACGCATGTTCGAATTATTGCTCCGAAACAAAATAGGTATTTTTTAAGTTAAGTTGATGTAATATAGTTTTGGAGTTAGTTAAAAGTGAATTTTTGCAGCTTTATGATAATGAGTAAAAAATTCGTTATGTTGATGCCTCTTATTCTGGTGCCAACCATGACGCCTTTTCTTGAAACACAAGCGATCTGTGACAGCACTTCGAACAAGAGTATTTGCGTGGTGTAGCTAACTTCTAGTTGTTAAGTGAGATTTATTTAATGTAACAAAACTTAAAAGCCAAATGAAAAAATAGATTTTATTTTACTAGGCGATGCAGGATATCCCTTAGAGCCGTGGCTCTTGTCGCCTAATAGACTTCCTCAGGAAGGTTCGCAGCAAATGAGTTTTAATAACATTCACTTCAAGTGCCGAAATATTATTGAACGCACTAATGGCTTGCTGAAAAATAGATGGAAACGTCTTCTTGGTGCTGGAGAGATGCATTACACTCCAGAAAAAACCGCAAAATTTATAAATGTTTGCAGTACCAATTGCAGTACTGATGAAAATGTTTTTTCTGACTGCAGTACTTTTACTGACGAAGATTTTTTCTTGAATTATCATCACATTATTTGTCTGTAATACAAAATATAAGAAATAATATAAAGAATAGTTTATAAGTCAATAATTAAAAACTTTTATTATATTCATATTAATTTTTTTTATATTTTTTTAATATGTACATTTTTTTTCTAAAAAACTAACAATAAATCTTGTTTATTATTTCAAATTTTTATTCTTTGTATATTTAAGTTCCTCTATTTTCAAAAGTCGACGGTTTGTTTGGATTTGGTTTTCTAGTTTGGGCAACCATATCCCAGAAGTCAGAAAACAGTTAATATATAAAAAACTTTGAATCCAATACTCTAATAAACACAATTACTTGAAAAAAATCGAAATTAGTTTAATTATATTATTTATTCAAAAAGTTTGTGTAAAATTGGTTAATAGATGGCACACCATTTTAAGTTAAATTCGCTGAAAAATTAAAATGGCACTGAAAAATTAAACTTACTTTTAAGTTAATCGACCAAGGTATAAATATGAAAGTATAAAAGGTGACCCCATCTCTTGGGGCTGATTTTTATTTCTCATTTTTCATACAAATCACATCATTTACACATAAAAGTTGAATGTAGATAGTTAATTAATTCAATTTTCTAACCAGTTATCCCAGTCATCATCGTTTGCAAAGTTAAGCAAGTATTCGTTCAGTACACGGTGATTTCTTTCAACCGTACCTATAGTTTCATGATGGTAAGGTGTGGAGAATGTTTGTTTTATCTGTAACAATTCTGTGATATTTGACATGAGCTCATTCGTGAACTCTGTACCTCTGTCTGACTTTAGTATTTTAAATGTTCCATATTTCAATATCAATTGTTCAACAAGTGTCTTGGCAATTGTTTTCGCTTCTTTGTTAACCATTGGATATGTGACGATAAATCTTGTAAGTTCACATTGCATGGTTAAAATGTATCTAAAACCATTTGATAGTCGCAAAGGTCCTACTGTGTCTATTTCGACTGTTTCGAATGATGTATTTGGAGTAGCAGTTAATTGTAATTCTTCCTTTGTGTGCCTTATTTGTTTATTTCGTTGACATTTCTCGCAAGTAGTTATATATTTGTATACCATTTGTTTCATTTTACGCCATGTATATTTCTGTTTTAATCTTAATAAAGTTTTTCTTATTCCTTGGTGTCCACCGAGAGGAGTGTTGTGATATTCCTCTATAAGTCTGTATTGCTTCATGCTATCGGATATGTGTTCCGGGGCTTCATATAATAATATTTTGAGACGATTACCAGCTGGTTTATTTTGTTGTATTTGGTTAACCATTTTTTTAAAATTTTCTTTTTCATTAGTTTTGAATATTATATCATTTTCATCTAGCGCTAGTTCATAAATTCTTAAATTTTCAATGTCTGCAATGAGTTTCACCATCGAAATCGGCTTCGTAGGTTCTTCGCTCATTACCACGGTTACATCGTTTTTCGTAACGTGTATGGTACCTTTTTTAAATTGCTTTTTAAGCTTATCATTGTTTACAAATTGTAATCTATTCACTCTGCGTATATCACTAATGGATGTACAATTCCAACAATAGAGTTGATCCTGCTCAATTGGCTTTGTAACTCCTTTAATGTTATCCGTAGTTTGTGCAATTTTTGTTTTACTTCTTGTAGCTACGCATATCTTTTTCATATCTTCTTTCTTCAAATGTCTCAATAATTCGTCTTCATTTGGAAGGTCTAGCTTCCTAGTGGACTTGGCGTCATCTTGTTTTGGTATAAGATTTGTGAGTGTTTGTGTATCTATTTTTATGCGTGATAGTGCATCCGCATCGGTATTGATTTTTCCTTTCTTGTATATAATCCCAAAATCGTAGTCCGAAAGATCTACTCGAATTCTAGTCATCTTTGAAGATGGATTCTTATGTACAAATAATGAGATTAAAGGTCTATGGTCCGTAACAACATAGAATCTTTTTCCATATTAATGTTGTGATGTTTTAGGCTGTTACCAAATATTATGATGTCGTCAACGTATAAAAATGCTTCAGTTTCTAGACCTGTTAATGCTAATGTTAGCATTCTCTGGAAACTATTTGAAGAAATTTTTAAGCCAAATGGTAGTCTCTTGAACTCATAATGGCCATCATTTGTTGAAAATGCTGTTTTAGGTCTTGAATTGACATCTATGGGTATTTGGTGAAAAGAGCTGGTCATATCCAGAGTGGAAAAATATCTAGCTCTACCTAATTTATCTAACACATCCTCTAAGCGGGTCAAGGGAAACTTATCATTAACGATTTTCTCGTTAAGTTTTCTGAAATCTATTACTAAACGCCAATTTTTACTGTCGCTTGTTGATTTTTTAGGCACTAAAAGTATAGGTGAATTATATGGGCTTCTTGATGGTTGTATTATGTCATCTTCAAGTAATTTTTTTACTTGAGATTTGATGTCATCGTTATGGCAATGAGGTAACCTATAGTTTTTTATATAAGTTGGGATATTATCCACAGTTGAAATTTTTTCTGTATAGAAATTATTTGTAGAAAGTTGTTCTTCATCTAAATGAAAAATATGTTGGTATTTGGATATTATGGGCAATATCGTTCTAGTGTCGTCATCATCACTTAATTGTAGTTTATCTAAAATTTTGTGTAGTCTATTATTGTTAATATTTCTATTGTTCGTTTGCAAGATATTATAATACTGTAAGGGTTGTGACTTCAGCTGTAATTTATTTATAGTAACATTGTGATTATTAGTATTCACAATTCTTATGTGGCAATTGCCTTTCGCTGGCACAATTGTATTAGCCATGAAGACACCTTTACTGATTTCTTTGTTGAACAAAACAGTATCTTCATCAAAATGTACATCTACTGGTAAGACACGTTCCGTTCTAGCTTCAATAGTAATTGGTTTGCATACTATTGGGATTTCTGCTTGTTTATTGCCTGACTGTATCGTTAGAGTAAAAGAATAATAGTCGATGACTCCAAAATACCGTCTACCTCGATTGGAAAATCGTCTGTTACCACTGCGAAAGTTTGCGTTATCCATATTCCTTCGAAAAGTAAGCTTAATTTTGATGTTCCTAGGGATAGTACGTGTTCACTCGTTATACCTGTTAGTTTGTATGTGTAGTCAGAGTTATAGTCAACGTTAAGGTTTTTTATAATAGACACTTCGGCACCAGTATCTATTAATAATCTTATAATTATGTTTAATTCAGAACAGAAAATTGAAACATAGTTAGACAGGGTCTGGTTTAGAATTTTTACAGTATTTAATTTCGAACCAGTGGATGGTTCTCCAATTCCATCTCTGGTTGCTCGTAGTTTTCCTGAGCGTTAGTTATACGCACACGCCTATTTGGTATATTACGATTATTTGATGCGCTTCCATTATTGTACCGGTTGTTGTTTGCACGGTTCGCGTTTGCATTGTAATTGCTTTGGTTTCTAGTATTTTGATATCTATGGTTTCCATTCCAGTTTGAGTGTGTATTACTAATATTTCCGTTATTAAAATTTCCTTTATTTCCGTTATATCGATTACCATTAGTATGGTAATTCCTTCGATTTGAATTATTGTTACCGGGATGTCGGTAATTAGGAAATCTATTAAATGTTAAGTTATAGGCTAATAAATGTTGTTGCTGAGTAGGTATATCCATATTCTCTGCAAATAGCCTAGCCTTATTGAAGCTTGTCGGTTGTGCAGCTTGCACAGTTTGGAAATATAAATGGTTTAAACCTTTTTTGTACGCTAACAATGCGTTATCATCATTACATTGGACAATTGCTATACCCTCTGGTGAGCATTTGTCGTAGTTTCTCTTTAGCAACGACGCATTGTTGAGTTTTGATAAAATATCAGACATTTTATCACCATAGTCTTTTATATTTGAATTACCTTGTTTTGTGTCATTTAGTTTTTGTAAGAGTTTAGGGACTGTATCTTCTGATACAAAATTTTCTCTTAGATTATCAATGAGTTCTTTAATAGATTGTGGAAAACCAATGGGACTAACTCTAATACGTACGTTGTGCTGTAGTTTGCATTCAACTATGTATTCGATAAAATAGCTTTTATCTGCTTCCCGTAATTTATTGTAACTGTCTTTTAACCTAAATATGAATCCGTTTAGCTCAGACACTTTTCCAGTGAATATTGGAAGGTATTTTTCCAAAGCTTCAGTATTTAATGGTTGATTAGTCATTGTAGTATTTGGGGTAATTGTATTTGTATTATTAGTATTTGGTGTATTTGTATGGTCAACGTTGTTCTGGTTATTCATTTTGGATAGATAATTTTTTGCTGAATTGTATTTATCGACAAAAGTCTCTATCAAGGTGTTAATCTTTTCTATTTCTACTGTTTTGTATATAGCACTAACTTTACTATGAATATAGTCTAGACGCTTGATTTTTTCTGTTATAGTGGCTGTCGTATAGCCTCTATTTGATGATTTCTTTGCGTTTTTAAGGATTA